TGGGGGAAGAAGAAAGGATGGAAAAAAGAAAACATGCTAAAATCCTTCTTCACTGAAAAATGCCAAGATCATTTCTATGGCGCTGAGGCATACCAGAAAATACCATATCCACTATCACAGCACATTTTCACTTGACAAGTCCACATGAAGGAACACAGAGCAGAAGTGGACACTGAATAGAACGGCACTCTCTTAACTGTAGGGCTTCAGATGAAGCATTTATCCTCAGCCATCAACTGCTGAGCAGAAAACACCTGATGGATGTTCCCCCAAAAGATGCTGGGACAGAGAAGATAATGTAGAAAGGGGAGAATGAGCTTTGCATGTCTCAGGCATACTTTCCAATGCTTGCTTCAGAGGCAGCATTTGTGCAGGCTAGAGACAGGTCCCAGATCATGGGACCACAAATGAATTGCATGCGACCTGCAAGTAAGGCAACAAAGGAGGACTGGGCCACACTGCCTGCGTCCGTCTAACAGGCAAGGCAGACACTGGAAGATGGTGCTGAGAAGACAGATCAAATCACTGCCTGAGCTCTAAAGTAGATGAGTCTTGATGGACAACAGAGACGTCTATTGTCATGTGCTAGCTCGCTCAAACGTTGTTTGTCCTCAGCACTCAAAGGAGCCACAACTCAGTTTCCTACCAACTCAGAGGCTGAGACAAGTGAACAAAGTATAGCAAAGACCCTCATCTGCTCCATTGAACCCTTACTCAAAGACCATTCGTGCTGGTAGCAGCCCACAGCCATTAATAAAACACCACTGGTGTAATACACTGGCATCAAAGCTGGAAAGACAGGAATAGTCCAGGTGAGAAGGGAAGACCAGACTGTTCCCATTACTGTCTTTTCCATCAGGGATGATTCTAGCTCCTAGCAACATCCTCTCATTACTAACGCTAATGGGAACTACCGTCACCTTGTTTTGGTGGAGATGGGCATCAGACCTTTTGCCTCAGTATGACCACTTTCTATAGAGGAAATCAATGCCAGTCTTCTAAGAGCCACCCGTAGCAAATTCTCCTGCACCACCCTTGAAGGTAATGTGCTCCGGGGTCTCTCTCAAACACAGACAACACTGATTCCAATATAGACCAAGTTTCTTCCATGAAATATACACTCAACTTTCACAAATTAACCCAGGAAACACACTGTCAGCCACATCTCTCTGTGCATGAAGGAAAAAGGAACAGCAGATGAAGCATGTCGACAGGACTGGGTCAGCTATGCAGGCCAATACGCGACCAGGGCCCCTTCTGCTCTCCCTCTCCGCTCTCAGCAGGGGGTAGAATTACTGTAGGTCAGAAGGAAAGGGAAAGACTTAACTTAAAAGGAGAAAGGACTAACCTAATAAAACACAGGAATCTCTTCCCCAAAAAATCCCTGAAGTAACAGACATTAGACTCAGAAGAAGCTAAAATCATCAGTTCCATCTTACTCCCACAGGCAGTGAAAGCTCAGAAGATGCTAAGAGCATCACCTGCATCTGCAGCTCGACTTGGGTATTCAAGCCATCTCAGGCTCCTGGGACAAGGGGACACTGACAGAAACCACAGCACACTGGGATTCTCACCACACATGCCCAAACAATTACTCCCAGAGGTTCAACTTCCATGCACACACATTTCTGAGGAAGCAGAACTGCACGCTTACATCATTCTTATTACGCTCTTTCCCATCTCATGTCAGGCACTGCCAGACAAGATACTAGCCAGAGCCTTTATCTGATCCACTAGAGCTGTTCTGCAGTTCTACAAATGCAAATTTAATTTATGTATCTGTTTGGTAACAATCTTACCTGTGTTCTGGTAATTCAGCTGGTTTTATCTGGAAGTCTCCATTAACAACGATTTCGTGTGCTAAGGCCATGTTGGTTACTCCCTTAGCTGTTTCCATGAGCTCTTCTATTGACACAGGCCGAGGAGGACTAGCTGCAACATAAATTCAACTGCCAGTTATCTATAAAAGTCTGTGGAAAAAAGTCTATTAATATTTTTGGACCCTTTCCACCTTCTTGACCATACAAAGGGCCAAAAGACAGTATCATCTGAAGGTTCTTCTCCTTTCCTTCCCTTCCTCTTCCCAGCTGGCAGATGACACAGGTTTGGAGTATTACAGGAAACAAAGGAGTGAACCCAAGTTGATATTCTGGGCTCAGTATGCAATTGCTTCCAAGTTCCATCAAGCTCTTTTAAAAAACAAAAAGAAACCTCACACGTAAAACCTCACTTCTTTAGGATTGCTTAGTACCATCCTTCTCCATTCTGTAGGAAGAAATCATTAGAAATACTAGTATTTTCACTGCACTATTTCCTCAATTATCGTGCAGTTGTTGCCATTTCAATTTTATATTTTTCAAGGAAGTGACTTCATCTCTAAAGCAGTCAGCAAACAGACAGACATCAACATTAAGCAGTAACATACTAGTAGCTAATTATTCTCACTACTTCCAGTGCAACCGGCACTTCTCCAAATTCTTTTTCCCCAGAGGCCATCGTCCAAGTGACAAAGGACGTCCAGACCCAGTCCCACACCAATGCCTAAGACTTCTTCCTCTGGCAGGCACTTGGGACTGACAAGGATGAAGAAGCAGCTTCAAATTGGGCCCTGGGGCATACAAGCGAGTAGGACAAAGCGCCAAACCTGAAAAAACAGGCCAGCTTTCATTAGGCAGGAGACAAAGGTAGTGACTGACTGCAGAATCTAAAAGGTAGAATAGGGACAGGGACAGTTTCAGAAAACTTTATTTGCTTCCTGGATACAGTGGGAATTACAGCTCCTAATTGTTCTGCACTGCGTAACACCTGCTGCAACACTAGTGGTATTGCTGTAGTGCAAGAGGCGTCACAGCCCTAAAAACAAGTCAACATAAAGGCAGAGAAGGTGCCAAGGGTGTAGGCCATACTGGTTGGGGAGTAATCCCATCCCCACTGAAGCCAACTGAAACCTGTTGCCACTGATCCTTTGTGGCAAAGATTCCTTCTAGCTGTGCTAGCATCAGTGCAAGCAAGTGCACGTGGGTGCCCTACAGTGCCTTGCCAAAAGTTAGGCGAAGCACCACAGCTCTTCCTTGGTCCAGGTATTTGAGATAAAGGAGAAGGCTAGATCATGAGAGTCCTCAGATGAGGCAGACAAGAACAGCAAGGTTCATCTCAGCTCCTCCAGAAAACATCTAGTGGAGCAGAAGAGGGGAAAAAAGCCACAACAGAATTGCCCTAATGGGTCAATTCCTCTCTGTAGTTCATTAACTTCAACTACAGCCTGGGCATAGGAGTGACATACTAACTCTCAAAATGAAAGAAAAAATGAAATTAGTTTTTCATTAATATCTTGCTCTTTTTGTGCAGTACTCTTAAACCCTTATTTCCTTCTGCTTGGAGCTTAATCTTGCACAGTGACTCTGGGAACACAGCAAGGATTGATATTCTGAGAAGAACTAGCAGGACAACAAAGTTCACAGCTGAAAGAGAGTGCTCTTGTCTGACTGCCAAATGACTTCATTCTAGCAGTGGATGCACTAAAAGCTAAGGCTCTTTCATTTACCAAAGAATGCTCTTAAATCATGTTACTTCATTCTCATATTATATCTGCTCCCTTAACAAGAGGGGAGGGCTTGAGACCAACAACTTCTTCGTGGTACAACGCAGTGCAAGACTGCACTATGCATTTTACTTTCACACGTTCACAGCCTCTCTCCATATATGCCCCACAATTCCTATCAGGCAACCAGCAAGACGTATGGATATAAACTCCATCAGAACATCTCCGTGTAACATGACACTAAACCCCAAGTAATAATGAACTCTATTAAAAAATAAGAAGAATGCAACAAATAAGATGTCACACGCAGAGACACTCTCTACAGAAATTTGGAACTAGTTATCTGAGCAATTCTGCCTCTTTGAATTGAATCCCTGGGACCAGAAAACTTCCCTTTGGTTTTATCTGTAGGTTTGCCAGAAATAATTGGTAGCCATATTGTATCCAACTTCTCACGTTAAAAGCAGAACAACAAAGAAAAATATGCCCTAGGAATAAACTTAAAATATGCAGTCCTGCTTGACACTAGAAGTAATATTAGGATTAAATATACAACTTCCCATCTGTATCAGGAGGGACATTACTTTGTTGATGACAGCCTTCCTGGCCCTGCAGCAGAAGCAGAGGCTGCAACACTCCAGAAGGTTCAGCTGATAATGCAAACATCAGCAATGGTTTAGCTAGAATATGCTGGAGTACTGCTTATCCCTTCCTGCAGACACGCAAAGGTATCTAAGCTGTATGTTGCAGTGCAAGACTGCACTATGCATTTTACTTTCACACGTTCACAGCCTCTCTCCATATATGCCCCACAATTCCTATCAGGCAACCAGCAAGACGTATGGATATAAACTCCATCAGAACATCTCCGTGTAACATGACACTAAACCCCAAGTAATAATGAACTCTATTAAAAAATAAGAAGAATGCAACAAATAAGATGTCACACGCAGAGACACTCTCTACAGAAATTTGGAACTAGTTATCTGAGCAATTCTGCCTCTTTGAATTGAATCCCTGGGACCAGAAAACTTCCCTTTGGTTTTATCTGTAGGTTTGCCAGAAATAATTGGTAGCCATATTGTATCCAACTTCTCACGTTAAAAGCAGAACAACAAAGAAAAATATGCCCTAGGAATAAACTTAAAATATGCAGTCCTGCTTGACACTAGAAGTAGTATTAGGATTAAATATACAACTTCCCATCTGTATCAGGAGGGGGTAACAGGACATTACTTTGTTGATGACAGCCTTCCTGGCCCTGCAGCAGAAGCAGAGGCTGCAACACTCCAGAAGGTTCAGCTGATAATGCAAACATCAGCAATGGTTTAGCTAGAATATGCTGGAGTACTGCTTATCCCTTCCTGCAGACACGCAAAGGTATCTAAGCTGTATGTGGCTCAGAGCAACATGATTATTTTGAATAATTAAGTACTAAGACAAAATGGGGAGAAAGGTGTTACAAACAGTTTCAAGGCAAGCGATGAACAGTCACATAACTTGCACAGAATGCTATAAAAAGCCATGATTGTCTCCATCCAAAAAAAAAAAAAAAGTAGAATTTGCCTTTTTTTTTTTTTTTTTTTATATATAAAGCAGTTTTGCTTACCCTTTGGAGTATCATCTCTGTGTGACCCTGAAGCACTCTGTTGTATTCTTTTTCTGATAGATCGATCCGGGTTGTCCAAGCTCTCCACTTGGCCATCCTCCAAACCACTCAACTTTTCTTCACTTGAATGTGGCTTGTCAGGATTCTGAGACATTTTCAGCTGGTTCTTTTCAGAAAACAAAAAAAGATGAAGAAGGGAATGAATAAGCATTTTCTGACATGGCTGAGTGGGGAAGCATCACCAGGAGTTCTCCTGATTAAGAAAAAAATAAGAATAAAATTAATCTTATGAGGAATTATATGATTATGTGATGTCATTCCCATAATGCTAGTGGACCTGGACTCAATGACTCACTTCCCATCTTACGCAAAACTGGATGCTTTCAACACAGCTACCATTTACTTACTAATTCCTACTAAGTTCTCAAAAATCTGAAACTGTTCCCTCGCTATAATGCATACAGATGAGAAAAAAACCATATATTTAATTTTCTTTCTTAGCATTGCTTATGAGAGGGCAGTGAAAAACACCTTCAGAATAGCATTGCAAACGTTCTACAAAAAGATTATGTCCAATGTGACATCTCCCCACTACATAATGATAAAGCTTTCTGAACATAACATACCCCTGAACTATGATCTGCCCCAACTGCTCAGAACTTAAAAGTCTTCTGAGCCATCCAAATGTGTTAAGAAGCATAAAAAGGACTAGAGATAAATTAATATAAAATTCTACTCCCATATTCTCGTTCCATGCAAGAGTCATAATTTATGCATACAATATCAGATTATTAAAAAAAAATTAAGACAGTAAAGAACATAGTTAAAAGTATTTAAAATATTAGTTTATTAAACATTAGATATTAAAATAATATTTATATTACATCACAGACACCTGCAGTGTACCCCAAATTACACTGAAAAAATGACCTTTAGAAAAGCATGTCTCACCATTCATTATCTTCATATTCAGATTTCCCTCTGAAGAACGTCATTTCCACATCTTACCACAGAAAACTACCATACAGGAAGCTACTGTTCAGACTTCAATTTTACAAAAAACTATTAGAGAGCATATGATGTCTCTAACTCAATTACTTAACCTGGATGGTCTGTGAGGTGGGAAGCCAGGAAGACTCTGCCTTTCAAAAAAAAAAAAAAAAAAAAAAGAAAAAGGCAAGCTCATGGAAAAAAACCAACTTCCTCTTTCACCTACTATCATCCCCACTCTCAGAAGTTTGAAAGAAACAATCTCTCAGCAAGAGAGACACCGAGACACCTCACAGATACTAGAAAAAATACTTGCAGTGTCAAAGACTACACTGAAGAGGATACAGCATAAGCAAGCAACAGTGTAGAAATACAAAACGCAGCGCTGAGATTTCTGTATTTTCATACAACAGCTGTAATAACTAACCCTACTCCATTAGTGCTTAAAGTGATGGCGCCAATGTGATTCTACGGGGCAGCTGGAAAGCTCAGTGCACGTAAGAAATGGCTTTGTTCTACAGCAATGACTCAGGATCATCATCTCGCTAGATGCACGAGATACACAACACTCGTCCACAGCACTGTGTGATTTCTATTTTAGAAAAGAAAACAAAGCGTAAAAAGCACGGGGTAAATTACGTGGGAAAACTAAGACAACAGCACAGGTATTGTTAGACCCATATATTAGCCCTCACCTCTAGCTGGAACAGAGCCACTGATGTCCCTGCCCCAAACGCTTGACCATCTCCCCCTTCACACACACAGACAATCCCAGCTGGGGCAAGCAAGCGGCAGCCTGTGCAGAGCTGCAGCCATATTGCCGCCCTCTGGACTACGGCAGAGATAGCCTCCAGCTACGTGTAACACGAGGCATCCAAACCAGCACGCGAAGTGGGAAACCAGTTGGAACCCACTGGTGGGAAACCAGTGCTCCAGGAGAAGTGGATCTCTGGTCTAGCGGACAAAAGGTCTGTTACTGGCAAACACTCTAGCAGCAGAAGGATGAGTAGCTCTGTTAATAAAGAAGTGGTTAATAGAGAAGATCATAGCAATGGTTGCAATAGAAATTATAAGATAGGACTGGTTAAACAGAGGAGGGAAACGTGTTGCTAGAATAAAAGCATTATCACACAGGCTTCCACATTCATTCAGACAGACAGGTTGTTCTTCCTATCCATTCTCTTCCACAAAGCATCCTCCTGAAGACAAAGCCTGAAGCACAAAGATGACTCAATGAAGACCTACTTAGGTCTTTAATGCACATGATGCTCCATAGTGCCTTGCAATCTCTCACTGTGCTTTATCCTCACTACCCTTTGAAAAGTAGAGAAATACTACAATATATCTTACTTACAGAGAGGAAACTGAGGTGGGAGTTCAGTTGCTTGAGGACTCACAGAAGATAAATGACAGGGCCAAGACAATAATCAGTGTCACGACTACTACCCTCAGCTTTCCCCACCAGGCCATCAGTCCTACCACGGAGACTACATCCTAAAGCATCGCTTTCCATAAAATGGCAGATCAAAGCCTACAGTCTCAAAACGAACTATTTCATTTAAATACAGTTAGTTTAAAAAAAAAAAAAACCAACCCTATTTCAGCTGTGAAAAGAGGGTTCAAAAACTCCTGGGCCATTCTACCAAATGACTGTTCAGCAGATGAGGTAAACAGGCACACTTGTTGGTTTAGTTTGCAACAGTCTACCCTTTTCTGCTGGATTACTGCTATTATTTGCCAGAACACATCTAGAACAAATCCTCTTTCCACTGGGTAAATAAGCTGGACAATACCTCTTCCAAAAAGTGTGATTCGTCATCTTTCCTTTCACAGAAACAATTCTGGCTCTTAATAGAACCAAGACTACTTCTTAGCACTTCCCTTCCAGTTATTTTTAATAAAAACAGAAGTACAGGAGAAAACCCAAGAAATTAAAATTTAAACAAGATATTTTCCACAGGTTCTTTTCATCAGAGGTCCTCAAATCATCTGATGCACACTAACATTAAATAAACTTGACCGGGCTTCTATGGAGCACACACAAGACCGAAGCAGTTCCTCCTAAGTCCAAGCCCGGCACCACTGCTCTGTATGAGATGAAACTCGATGACTCCCCTTACCTGCAGGCCACCTTTCTTCAAGCTCCGTTCCTCACCCCTGTTCACCTGCCACATCAAAACCTGCCTTCCCTCATAACCCGCTAAAAGGCAACCTACACCTCAGCTCTGCATGGTGAAGCTATGGCCTGTCCCTCTTCCAAATGAAAAGGGATGCTTACGAACTTCCACCACCCTCCCTATCTGCAACCTGTTATGTGTAAGGCCCCAAAAGTCCCGGTCCATCAGCAGGGTCTACCAAAGGAGAGCGTACAAGGTACCGTAAACAAAAATTCCGTACCACGTAGCAGTGACGTTACTATTCCACCCCCTCGCCCTCCCCGTACTGGGCCCCACTTTCCTGCCATGCTTCCACAACGGTTCAGAAGTTCCAGGGCGCTTT